CTCGCCTGCCAAGTCAGCACCTTGGCACTCCAAGTCTGAGCTCCTGCCCATAGAGAACCGATTCAGCGTCCTAGAGGCGGACTACCAATAGTCCGGGCCCATCGAGCTCGGAAACACCGAGGCCAGCAGTGCCAGTACTAGGCCCACTCAGCAATGAAGACGCCGGCGAAGCCGTCGGACTACCACCCGCGTCCTACCCAAGCTCCGAGGTAAAGAAGAGACAAGCTCAGACGAGGTAAAAGCTGCCCCTATTCTCTTAGTCCCTTCCCCCCTCTCATCAGAACTCCTTGCAGTCCCCATGCCCAGAGATTTCAAACTCCCCCCTTTGGACAAGTATGATGGGTCCTTCGACCCCAACGACCACGTCGATGCTTTCCAGTCCCAAATGCACCTGGCAAGGGCCAGTGAATCATGCATGTGCGTGGCCTTCACTACCACCTTAAGGGGGGTGGCCCGCACCTGGTACAGGAACTTGGCCCTCGGGTCAATAAGAAGTTGGACCCAGTTTGTGCAGGTCTTCACCGCGCACTTCGTTACCAGCAAGCGGTGCCCCAAGATCGAGGAGAGCATCTTTGGAGTAGTCCAGAGAGAAGGAGAGTCCATCCGGGGCTACATCAAGCGGTTCAATGATGCGTGCTTGTAGATACCGTGACTGGACCCCACGGTGCAACTTGCGATAGCCAAGAGAGGAGTGACACACAAGGAGTTCAAGTGGCACATGGTAGTTAGCCAGCCCGCGATTGTAGCTGAATTCCTCAAGCTCGCGGATAAATTCATGAGAACAGAGGAGATCAACCAAAGGACCGAAAGCGGGATCGAGAAAAGGAAGAGGGAAGGCAAGCCCTCCCACCCAGATGACAGGAGGAGGAAAGATCCAGCTCGGGAGATGAAGCCGAGCCAGCCGTTCTGAGCTCCCTTAGCAGCTCAGACGGACTACACACCTTTAAACGCGAAGCGGGCTGAGATCTTGATGACGATCAAAGACGCCCCGTACGTAAAGTGG